AGATAATACAATAGGTGATTTGCAAATGATTTTTTCATTGAAAACACTACACTATAGCACTTTATGATCAGCAGCGATCGCACGCGTTTGTATGTATATTTAGAATCAGAATTGCACCCGTGCGGAGCCCAGGCAGGTCGCTAGTTATATCTAAATCGTAACATTTGTGGATGGCAATTTGTTTTTAATGAAATTCATTCTCTTTGAAAATTGCTTTCGGAAAAAGTGAAATATTTAATCTGTGAAGTATACTATTGAATGTTTTGCATTATTATCATTTCAGTGATAGTCGAGTAAAAATAATTATTAGGTGATTCAATACTGTCTCAGTGGTGAATGGAATTGACAAATTTTTCTGAGACACCCAACTGCCTACTTGTAGCACTAATCATATACTGTCTTACAAAAATCATGGAAGTTCCTAATTATAATCTCTTTCAAATTCGCATTCCCAAGATCCGGCCGACGCTGTCTGCAACGTGCCGAAGGAATTGAGTTATGTTCCATAGATCTATGCAAGTGGTACATTCAGAGATTGATTCATGAACTGTAATGCGATTAAGGCCGCGGCATTTGTTCTCTTCCGATACCTCGAACAAATCCGATACATGTGAGATACTAAATATGATTTATACGTGACAAACGTGTCAGATCGACGCTTTTATTTTCTCGCGATTAATCAGTTCAGCGTTGCCAGGTGTAGACATATTTCTTTGGATCTGAAGAATTTGATTATAATATAAAGAAATATAGAAAGAAATAACTCCCTAAGAAGTAAAAATGAAAAAACTGCATTATGCTCAAACACTTCACACTTCACTTCACATTCTGAATAGCATCCTAACTAATTTGAAAGATCTATCTATGTTATAATCTCTTGATGAGGCAGCCCTCCGAATTTAACTCTCAGTGGTCTATGAAAGAATAATAGATAAATGTAATATTTTCATTATGAGATTTAAACCTGAAGTTTTCCTACGATTTTCTTTTCTCTCAGCATCAAGAGTTGTTAGTTAATATTTACCAATTTTGTACTTTATTACACTGCATACTCATTCCCTCGTGCTTTCATTTGTACTCGGCTTCAATATGAAACTATAGGTTTAGGTTAGGTTAGGTTCAAAGTAAGTGAGTCTATTCGACCCTCCACCGCAACTCACAAGGGTTTATTGTGGCTCACACCTATTCACACTCGGCCAAATAAACCCAGCTTCTTAACGGAGCCGATTAGTTTGTATGGTGAGTGGTCTTTCAGGTCAGATGGTAAGAGTACGGCTCTGCCGAACTCTAAAAACCTGATTCGGTCCCCAGCGGGGCCGGCACAAAGTTTATGCTTTACTGTTTCATTGTTAACAAGGTAGTCGGATAGTCAAGGTGCAAGATTCCCACCTTGACACCCACGACATCCTTCACATATGAGGGTTTTTGCACGTCAGCTACACCTGACGATGCCTTAGATTCAGCCGTGCAGGGATTTTCCGCCTCTGGTTTTGGAGAATCATTACTTGAGCACAAACGTTTGCTAACCTGCTCATGGGGAGTTTGTTTCCACACCTAAGACAGATTTTGCGTATGCCGCTCAAGATGTTGGTGCTAGGCGGTTTTGTAAGGTACCCCGCCCTTGAGGAAACGACTCAGTTGTTTCCTGGCTGCACCACAAGTATAGGTACTGTAATTGTTAATTTTAGTCTCAGTTTCATTTAGCTAGCTGGATTTCAAAGATGCCATGAAAACAGTATCCCGGAAAATGATCAATTCTATATGATTTTCACATCCAACACACATTATACTCGGGTATTAAATTCGGGTAGCATCACCGTGACGAAGTTACATTTACTTCATTAGATTTCAGAGATGCAATGAATAATATGTTAAAAGTACTCATTTTCTGAGAAGTGACAAATTTCAAAACAAATATCTACTTTCACAAACTCATTTGAGCATATCGTTAGTTAATGACGTTGCTCTATAAGTTACAAAATAGCTAGTGAGATTAATAGTCATGAATGTCATTTCGTAACATAAGTCAATTAAAACTCAATCGCTGTGGTGCTATCTGGCCTAGTTATGAATAGAACATCTAACTGGAGTATCCGTGTTAGGAATCACACGTTAAAAGGTAAAACCTCGTTAATACTTAGCTCGCACAAGTTTCGACTTCTGAGGGTTGTCATTCGTAGGGGTGCGACAGCTGGTTAACGGAAAAACAGATTTTAAAACATTTTTTTCAAAACAGATACGTAGTTGAACATTTTTGGATTTAAATAAATCCAATTATTTCCGATCAAATTGCATGTCATCTGGCAACACTGGTTCAGCGCCTTCTTGCTTAGTAACTACTTATTCCTTTTTACCAACTTCGATTGGACGGACACAGAAACGTTATACATAGAAGATTAAAATGTAATGTTATGCATCTATGACGGTAAACTGTTTTTCAACGATAGACATACATGAAATAATTCAGAAATAAAAAAAAAGAATAACTAAAATGCTAATTAACTTTTTTTTTTCGTTAAATAACGTGTATTATTTCCTTTCTATGTTTTTTACCACTCTTATTCGTAACCAACGTTACTGCAGTTTCGTCCTATACGGACATTTTCAAACTTATACAATAAATGTATATGTATAATGTATAAGTTTGAAAATGTCCATGTAGGACGAAACTGCAGTAACGTTAGTTACAAATAAAAGTGGTAAAAAACATAGAAAGTTTCATTTCTCTTTTCTTCATTATGATTTCCTACCACGTAGTAACAGCTACATCCATCAATTTATTGTATTATTTTTCATTGAAAATAGATTATTAGCGATATAGCAGTGTGTATTTGGAACAGCACAGACAAAACTTTGTATACAATATAATTTTTTTTCAAATATATGAAAGTGATTTGGGCTTAACGACTAAGATAATGTTCAATTTTATCAACAGCATTGTATGTTGTGAATTTATTTGCCTATTTTTCGATAGCATTTGACCCAATTTGAATACCTGTGACTCTTGAAATTTTTTATATTTTGTGGTGAATAGAAATATATTTCATATCGAATTAAATTCATTTAAAAGAATAATTTCATGTTAGTGTCTTTGAAATACATATTAAAGGATCAAAACGTTTTGTTTGTATCTAGTATTGTATCGCATTTTTAGTCATTGATTAGCACCACACCTTCATTTCTCTACAATACAGATGATTTTTCTCGTATTACAAAACCCACAACCAAAGTTGACCATCCGAAGAACAAAGCAAATATTATTAAAGAGAAAATGCACGCGCGTTTTTACTTGACAAATAGTGCTGTCGGCATATTAATATAAAGGATAAATACTGTTTGCATTTCATTTACCGCGGTAAACTTGGTATCAAATGTTTTAGTCCGATAGTTTGTTCAAGAAAGACTACACGAATTCACAATTAACCTATGATGAAATTGTGTATCAGGTAAAACAGCTTACAGAATATTCTTTGTCGACCATGAGAACAGAAAACTTTAGAGTTATATGCACCGAAAGGTGATTTTTCCCTTTATTCTACTATTGAATATCGATGATATAAATAAATTCTGTAAGTTTCAGTACCAGATTACAACTCCCAATTGGCAGTGACAGACTGATGAAACATGTTTATGAAAGTTTGTGAAAACATTAGTCGTAAAAAAGTGTCCAACATAGTTGGTAGTAATACATAATTACATCGTTTCTGCAACTATGGTGTTATGAGACTCATTTTAAAATTGTTTTCAAAATCATCTTCAGCACTTATGATGCACTGTTTGGAACCTTTGGTGTAGTAATGAATATTACTGGAGTTTTTTCCCAACACCAAATCGTTATTTTTAACACCTCGACACGTGTTTCGATCACCAAGGGATCATCTTCAAATAGGAAGATTAATCTTCCTTCCCAACACCAAATCGTTATTTTCAACACCTCGACACGTGTTTCGATCACCAAGTGATCAACGATTTGGTGTTGGGAAAAAACTCCAGTAATATTCGTCTTCAGCAGATGTTTCATTATTTACATACAAATTAGTCCATTCTTTACATATGATTTTACACTACTTCAATCCAGATCAAATGTTATATGAAATAACAATCAAATTCAAATTTCGCAAACCTGTTGCTCAAGAAAATTTAATTTAGTCATTCAAGAAAAGTCGAAAGAATTGATGAGATATACCGAAATTTTTTTAAACAAATCTGAAAATGAATGTACCTGCTACCAATAACTGTTATCCGGTGTTTGAATACAATATCGGTTTGATAAATTGCTACTAAATCACTATATCTGGCGATAAGGATAGTATCATTTTTGTAATAGCAAAATAGCGGGTTTGAATTTCAATTTCAACATTGGCATTCCAATATCTACTTCATATTGCTTCAAAAATTAATAACAATATTGAATTGCCAATTTAGGCAGCATATCGGCATGATTCATTAGACATGTACTCATTCCAGTGTTATTTTAAAATTGTATTCAAACTCAAAGAAGCATATTGAATTATCAATATATAGTTCAACATCGAATTGAAACAGAAGATTGAAGTGTTTTTTTTTCTGATGGATTTGGCCGTTACTTGATGAAGATCCATAGTAATTTCATGAACGACACCTTACGATATTCTCCACAAACTTTATTCAATGAAATATATCACATGTTTCGCTAACACAGTAGCTTTTTTGTAATGAATTAAGTACTATCTACTGGTACTTAATCACTACGAAAAAGTTACTGGGTTAGCGAAACATGTCGTGATATATTTTCTCAAATGAATTTTATTTCAATATTGAATGTTGTTCAGTTCTAATCTAGAATATTTTTATTGGAATGTAATATTCACACAATGTTGTCAATTCTACTCAATTGCAGTCAATTTGGATATAGGTTTGATAACCAATAGTTTCCTGACAATGAATAATTATTTTTAATTCAATACTTTTTTTTCCATTCGGGTTCTTTCGAATTTGAAACTGTACATTAAAAAACTTACCCGTAATTTCGTTGATCTGGAAGCTGCTATTGCTGGGAATGAGGCTGTATCTGATAGCAGCGTTTTCACCAATATCAGCATCAGTCGCCAAAACCTTTCCCACGCTAGTGCCTCTTCTCAAATTCTCTTCGATGCTGAACTCGTAAAACTCCTTCACGAACGCCGGATCGTTGTCATTAGCATCCAGGATGTCAACAAGGACTCTTGTGGTAGCCGTTTCGGAAGGGGTCCCGTTGTCAGTTGCTGCCACAACAAGGACGTATTTGTCCTTCGCTTCTCTGTCCAAGTTTCCACGCAGGTAGAGCCAACCACTGTTAGGGAATATTCCGAAGATTTCCTGGTTGTCCGAGTCATCGGAAACGTTCGAAGATAGTAAGCGGTAGGTGATCCGGGCATTGTTACCTGTGTCTGCGTCTACAGCTGTTAGCTGAAGAATCTGAAATAATCGTTTATTTTCATTTTTAATTCTTTCAACATCTAATTTCTAATAGACAAGTAAATAGTCATTACATTTATATTGCCTCAAATCAGTTGAGGTAGTCGAAAGAATAGAAGATTAATAAAGATATAACGAAAAAGTTTTTTGGATTTTCACTCCTCTATCATTGAACAACAAATGTGGAAAACTTCTGTAATATTACGTGCTTCATCTTGTAATGTTTCATCGAAAACGGTGCTGATGAGTTGTCAAAACAAATGTTTCATCCCGAAACATCCAATGAGGATGATAGTGTCCCAAGTAAGTAACATTTAATATGAAATTCAGCCCATGTTACTCGCTGATAATGAAACCTTCTATGGGTGAAAGATTTTTAAAATCATTCGTGACAAAAAACCAAAGTCTCAATTTGATCAAATATTTTCGAAAACCTTTCGGATAAATATCTTAAATAACAAAGTGTAATTATTTCATAGAGTAGAACAAGCAGCCAGAGAGATTCCCCTCAAGTCGATACTGTCATAATCATACTCCAAATCCCTGTAATGACGTCGGTCGGAAACTTTTCGTTACTAAACATCTTATTATCCAACGATAAAAATATTAATAAGGGAAAAATCGCAAGTATGCCATTAGGCGTTGGGAAACAATGGTCCATTGTTTGTTTATACGGACTTTGATGCAGCTTTATGCAAATCTCCGAGTTAAAAGAAGAAATTTTCTGTATTATAGTCTACGAGTCTATCATTTCAACTCGAAAGTTCTCACAGCACAGGTGATGAATCAATGGTTCACGAGGTTGTGTTTGAGAGTAACTAATTTGCAACTCTGAGTGAGTATACTTAAGCAAAAGTACAGAAGAATCAGTATCAGTATCAGTATCAATTTCAGTATCTCAATTAGTTTATCATATTCATGAGAACTGAGGAAAATTGTCGATTTTGAGTGAACCAAATCCCAAATTTTCAAATACGAAATGGGGTTTTGTGATACCTCAAATAAACGTTATCAACATTCAATATTCAGGGGTTTTCAAATTCACGGTAAGAAACAATAGTAAAATTTGGGATCTGAGAACAGAAAAAAGTCGCTGGGGACCAGATCTGAAGAAAACGGCAGATGAGTAAGCAATTCGAAGCCAAAATTATGCAATTTTGCCGTAGTTTTCATTGATTTGTGACACGGTACATTGTCTTTATGAAACATCACTTTCTTTTCCAAATGGAGCCATTTTCCGTGATTCCGTCCTTCAAACGCTCCAGTAACGCTATGTAATCGTCGCTTTCGTCCTTTTTCATTCCATAATCTTGCCAGCCAACTGTTGTGTCTTTGCACGCTTCGGAGTTGGTTCACCACGTGCAGTCCACTCAGATGAAGATTGTTTTGATTATGGTGTGAAATGATGTAGCCATGTTTCATCCATTGTTACATATCGACGCATACATTCGACGCATACACTACGACCAGAGCTTTCGCATACAAATATTCATGCACGACATGTCCAACACGTTTCTTTGATATATTTAGATCATCAGCTTTCTCGATCAACTCCACTTTACGGTCATCCAAAATTATTTTGAAGGCTTTTTTGATGTTTTCGTCGGCAACAGCCTCTTTGGGGCATCCACTGCGTACATCGTTGATTTTTCTGGTGCAAAATACGAATAATGTTTATCAAGCCAAACCTTCGCTTCAACAGTTTTTTTTTGCCAAAAACCAATGTTTTATCAAGACATAAAATTTCTTTTAATCTATTTTCTTTAAACTAACAAAAGTTGCTTCACTCAAAATGTTCTCTCCCACAAAATAATAGTCTGACAGCTGTGTACACGTGTCTTTTGCAGGTTAGGGAATCTGTATCTGTAGAGTAGGAAGGGTGAGTATGAGCCCGCTGCACTCAGGCCACATGTGACCTATTGTACATCCTCCCGAGGAGTTGTCCTCCTAGATCATCGTCCATCCTGTCCTTTCCAGGAAGGTGGACAGGTCACTGGGAGACATCTCCTTTATATCGGTAGGTGTAGGCCAAGACTCGCCGAACACACACTCTCTTATTGACGATAACTCCGGGAACTCGCATAGGACATGCCTGACAGTCACATCTTCCTGTTCACACATCCTGCATCCATATTATGGAGGTGTTTTCTTAGTTGACAGTGGCCAGTCAGAAATCCTACTGTTAAGCGTAGATTTTTCCTGGTCATCGCCAGATATTTCTTTTGGCGCCAGCTTCCCAGGATCGCCCTAGGTGATCCTGATAAGATTGCATCCTTTGATTCCATCCCATCTCTTTAAGGATTGAGCATGGGTGCAATTGGTCGAAGTCATCAGGCCGTAGGTGCCACTGGGTCCTAAAATTCTTAGTCCAGCCGCTTCCTTGGCTAAAGGGTCGGCAATGCAATTACCTTTACTCCTGTCGTGTCCTTTAACCCACCTCAAGATTATGTTATTATCTACCGAGGCTTTCGCTAAATCTTGGTAATACTCTAGTACTAGCCCCAAGGTTATATGTTGTCTGTTCAAGGCTAATAGGGCTTGTCTGCTGTCAGTGCAGATTGTTATGTTTTTGCCAGAGACTCGTTTTCTGGTTATTTCTTTTGTGACGATTGAGATACCAGCCAGTTCTGTTTGGACCACGCTGGTATTTCTTCCCATTCTCCACTTAATCCTTAGGCTTAGTGATCTGGAGTATACCTACTCCACATCCTGAGCTTTCTTTGATTTTTGAGCCGTCTGTATATATGCGTATTGCATTTATAGCATCTGACTCTGTGAAGGTTAGGGTTAACTAATAGTGATTGGGATTTAATACTAGTAGCGCCATCTGTGTCTTAGCCTACGAACTTTTCAGCATATCTAATAGTTACTGAGTTTCAAATTCAACAGGCTGTGTAAGTGCCTTTCATAGCTTTATAATAACAAAATCTATACATATAATTACATTGTAATTAGTCGCTGTCTGTACATGTAAGATATTCGATACAAACCATCATTCGAGATCTTTATCAACGGGATAAAATCTGAAACAATGATTTTTAGAATTTTTGTCTGCTTGTCGAGCAATCACATGTTTGTCTGTGCCTCTGTGTGTGCATATGTTTGTCTGTACGTTTGTTTGTCTGGTTGTGTGTGCATCTATGTGAGCTAATCTCAGAAATTTAAGGACATGGAGAAACAGTGATGAAAAGGTAATTTTCATATGGGGGGCGCCCCAGTAGGAATATTCGAAAATCCTTTTTTATTGCACATTTAAAACATAGAACGTACCTACATACAGAATTTTAGCCTGTGAAAATTTAGCAGTACGGAAAAACGGTGATGAAAATATAATTTTATTTTATGAACGCGCCTTTCCCCCCGCGGCTGGTGCCCCAGTTGGAACATTTAAAAATCCTTTCTCACTGCACATTTACAACATAAAACGAACCTACAAACGAAATTTCGGACTACGAAATTTCATATGTAAACACTCCCCTTTTATTCTCACGGGGGCGCCCCAGTTGTAATATTCGAAAATCCTTTCATAGTGCGCATCTAAGACCTAAGAAGCACCTTATATACCACATTTTAGCTTCCTAGAAATTACTAGTACGGTGAAACAGAGATGAATGTGTGAGTGTTAAGTGAGTGACTTTCGCATTTATAAATATAGATTTCGCATGTATGAGTATAAATTAAAAAAAAATATTTTGAATTATTTTTAAGGCGCAGCAAAAGATCGGAATTACAAAAAAATCGAAGAGGAAGTAGCATCATCTCAGGAATAATATACTGTTCACTTTTTGCCTTGCATGAAACAAATTACTTTTGAACATCAAAGGAACTGGAAGCGTCATTCTGTTTCTGTCTAAAAGTTACGCTCGAATTACTAGACCGGTGGAGCATAATATCAATTGGTTTTTCAATAAAATTTATAGGCGGTTCAGATGAGTATTCAAGGTCACCTAACAAGCGACCTTTTTCATTTTTATTGGACGCTGATTATGACAGTTTTTTTAAGAGGCGGTATAAATTGCGAATACAGGTAAATGTCAGGGTTGGACTGCGATCATCAAAATTTTAATAAGCTGAAGATTTTTCGTAAATATAAAGAATTTGTTCCTCGTTGAACTGTTCATCATATCACAGATAATCGATATTGCTGTTGCCATCTAAAAAGTAAGTAACTGTATAGGTTTTGAGTGGCATTATTTCATACAGTTCAAGTATAATTTTCAAATATTCAGTCAAATCACGACGGAATAATATCCGTTAATGTCAAAGTGACATTCAGTGACAATCAAACAACTTGATGATAATATAAGTACCTGCTATACAAATACCAGAATCATCTTATTCATCAAAAAACCTAGAAATTGTACTAGAATTCACAACTCCAAATAATGAATTCAAACGTAGGGCAGCTTACATTATCGAAAGTTACAACTTTAAACGAAAAACACTAAAATCAATAAGACAAAAAATTCATAACAATAGCACTGCATTCGCAAAAGCAGACAAAACTTCATAAACAGCATTCATCAGATTAGTAATATCGTTGCTAACAGCACTATTTTATAAAATTTCTAAATTCCTGATAATACCGTCTTCTCATCTTCCTTTAGTATCGAAAACTCGCATGAAATAATGAAAAACATCTCCAATATTTAACTTTCACCCAACTTCAATTTGGTTTCTTTCGATTTCACAAATATCTTATCATGCATTACTCCAGAAGAATCATCAAACAGATAGATGAAATGCTCAAAAATCATACAAATCCAATAATTCATTCTGATATAATTTTAGTATTGTCAGTATATCTAATGGGTTATCCTCTAAGTCCCATTATTGCTGAAATTTTCATTAACATTCTCGAGAATACTATTCACCCAATTTTCAAAATTTGTATTTATTGATATAAATTTAATGACGATTTATAACCCGCTTTACAGGTACAGATCGACAATTACAAGCATTCTTTCAAAACATTTCACATTCCACCAACATATAAAATTTACAATATAACTAGAAAGTAAAAACTGAATGAACTTTTTGAACCTCACAAATGAAAGAGGAAGAGGAAGAGGAAGATCAATATTTCTCTTCAAGATGATCACTTGGTGATGAAAACGTGTCGAGGTTTTAAAAATTACGGTTTGGTGCTAGGATGAAGCTCCAGTAATATTCATTACTACACCAAACAGTTTCAAACAGTGCATAACAAATACTCAACAGTGTAACCATGTCCACAGATAATTTTGATAAGGGATTGAATTTCATAAAATCAATCTTCCTTTCGAAAATGATCACTTGGTGATCAAAACACGTGTCGAGGTGTTAAAAATAACGGTTTGGTGCTGGGATGAAACTCCAGTAATATTCATTACTACACCAAACAGTTTCAAACAATGCATAACAAATACTCAACAGTTATGATGTCCACAGATAATTTTGATAAGGGATTGCATTTCATAAAAATAAATTGCAGTAAATCAGGTTATGTGTTTGGCATAGTTTTTCCATCTGACCGGAAAAATAATCCACCAAACAAACTAATCGGCTTCAAGTAACAGTTTATTGCGAGATTTTTACTTATTGGCCAATTCCATCAAATAATCGGCTTTGTTAAGTTTAACTTATTTGGTGAAGACTGGATTGGTGTGAGCCACAATAAACCTTCGCGATTTGCAGCGTACAAAAAAGTTCACACCAAGATTGGGGTATATTATAAGTTCCGCAAACTAAGCAACTAACCAGACAACATTTCAAAACACTGGTTATAATATCGAGGAAACTTACCTGTGTATTGGCTGGCAGAGACTCCAAAACACTAAGAGAGTATTCGTTCCTTTCGAAGACTGGCGGATTATCATTAACATCCTGTACCTCGACGAACACCGTCAAGTTGGCAGATAGTGCAGGAATGCCCATATCGGTAGCAGTAATGACCAGAGTGTGTCGTTGGGTCGTTTCATAATCTAAATGTCTTGTAATTGTTAGATCGCCCAATTTGGCATCGACTTTGAAGAGGCCCCCGTAAGCGTTGTTGGCGATTTTGTAGCGAACAACGCCATTTTTGTCGGAATCTTTGTCGATGGCGTGGGCGGAATAGAGGGGCAAACCTATTTCGACGTTTTCTGGAACCGAGATGCGGACCGTGGAAGATTCGAACTCGGGAGCGTTGTCGTTTACGTCTTCTATTTCGATGTTTACCTGTAAAATAATTGTCATTTAATTTTTATATGAAAAAGTCGAAAAAGTTCAAATATTGTGTCTCTTGGCCATATTCATCAGGTTAAATGCTTTAAATTTCGTCTACACTTCCGGCAGGCATTATTGAAGACGAAGATGCAACAGGCGTAGTACAGATCGAAGACAAAACAGTTAACATTTACGTTTGATCAGCTGGTTGATAGCTTGCACCCAGTACATCGAATAAAGCTATACTGTATATTTTGACAGTGGATTTGAAATCCACTCAAACAAAAATATGTTCTCAACTATCAATTTTGATTTTAAACAAAGTGAGTAGCAACTCAAAACAAAGCAACTCAAAACAAAAATGCGATCTAAACCTTCAGAGTAATTCACCATGTGAAACAAATCCCATGAAAATTGCAACCTTTTTTCATCACGCGTATCTCATCGGTTTGTAAGGCTGCTTGAATTTATGTTATGTTTATGTTTTAACATCTTTTTCATTATCACGAAACGTGTTGTGCTAATCTCATAAAACCTGCTAAGGTCATTTTAAGTACAGACATTTTAAAAAATTCTCCAAATGTCAATAAATGTTATTCCGTACATATTCCCTAATTGATAAATGCTTTCACAATAACTATAGAGAATATATGGTAATGCCATAATACTAATGGAAACTTAATGAAACATTGTATCCAGATAATTTATTTGTTGTATCTGTTTTAGAGTTCCTTGTTTTTGGTATTTATTGTTTTTATATCATTTCAGTTTCAATTGTCAACCCTTTTGTTACAAATATTTTATATTTTTGCTTTTATTGAAAGGATTTCAAATTCATATCCTAAGAAGTTAGGTTTATGATACGAAAAATTAATTGATATAGAAGATCGCTCATTCAAAATTAAAACATTGTGTCTTGCTCTGTATTTATATTGTACCCCATTTTACATTCCTGTTTGAAAGTGAAGCTTCTAAATAGGAAGAGAAAATTGTATGCAATTAACTTATGAAGAAACCGGACAACTATGGAGTTTGGTTGAACTTGAGTGGGTTTTATTCTGAAACATGAATACGTTCCTCCCCTACGTCTAGATTTGAATTAGCAATTATATCAAATTATATGAAGGGAAAAAAATCCAAATGAGCAGAAATGACTGAACAGTTGATAGTGTATTTTTGAGAGGTATAAATATACATCTGACTATCCCCAAAATGACGATTCAATTGCTGAAATACAAGTAGCTCTAGCCATGCTCGAAATTTCTGATAATAATAATAGGGTTATGTACTCGATCTAAGTTAGAAGGAGAAATATCAGGAAAAAAATAATATTCAATGTATCCAGTTCAAAGACAGATTGACAACTGTTTTCTCACCTGTGTATGCCCATATACAGGAGGTTCACCACTAGTAGCTTGAATATTGAGTAGCACACTTGATTTGCTCTCATGATCCAAGCTTGAAGATGTTATAATGGCTCCAGTAATTGGATCGATTCTGAAATATCCATCTGGATCACCCGAGTTTATGTAGTACCGTATAGTACCCCTACCGGCTGAAAGAAATAAAAGAAAAGTTATCAAGATGTTTTTGATGAGAGGCAAATATCGTACCAAATTTTTGGTATGATAGGATCAATTTTTCCAATTTATTTCCTGTCCCAATTCATAATTGTAACTAATTACAATCACAATCCCAAATATCATTTGGGATAATAGGGTGGCGAGGGGTGAATGACTACCACTTGAACATTTTTGAAATAATATACAGAAATGGATACTCAAAATTATTCTACATTAAAATAGAACTCACTCAAGCGACTCTACAAGAAAGCTGGTGTACTTGATGTACGTCAACTATTTTGTTCGACTATATTTGATAATTTGCAAAATAAAATTTCATTAGAAGTAGTGATTCATCCTCATCATACTAGAAATAGAAATGTGCGCTTTATTACACCTCGATGTGAAAAAACTTTTGGACAAAAAATGCCTCTTATCTGGGACCGCGCCTTCACCAAATCATACCAGAAACAAAACATTAACAACTCAAAAATGTCGAAGAAAAAGATGAAAGGTTATTTGATAGAGAAAGAATTTTTCAGAGATTTTGTAAACCAGAATATTCCCAGATAGTAGTTCAGACGCAGTTCAACCCGAACTCAAGGACAACATACTGATGCTGACCGCGGAAACCTTTCCGAATAAATGTATATAATAATAATGCTTCTTGTAGATTTTTTTCATCACTATCAGCATTAAGATGGCCACAATACAGTCAAGAAATATTCACACAGCTTCCGTGTTGCCGCTGTTTATTCACAGTTGTACTTTTTTTATGTAAAATTTTTTTCTTCTGTGAATAAACCTTATTATTAATTACCTACATGAAGTTTAACTGAAGACATCAAACTGGCAAAAGGCATGATGAGTCTATGTGATAATAGGATTTTTTTGAATCGATAATATAATTTTTTGAGAAATAATGAAGGAATACCTTCTATTAAAGTTTAAAGAATGTAACAAACACGTAAGAAAATGTATTTTTGTGTAAATCATGATACACTGCGGTATTTCGCTACTTTAGTTTTTTCATAATTGGTTACATAAATAAATTTAAATTGACATTATAGGCTTTGTCGGAAAATTTAAATATTATCAAAGGTAAAAAAACAATTGGTGCATAAGAAATTGAAAGAAAATAGTATCAATGAAGAGACTTTCAAATTTCAAATATATTTCCGAAATATAGGTAGTGAATATGTGAATTATTTTGTGAGAACAATGATTCATTGATTATGTTCCAGCGAAGAAAGTAAGTGAATATTCATAAAAAATGGGGAATCTTTTTTTTTCCACATCGAAAGAAAAATAATATTGTTGCTAGTAGTATTTGTATAAATCTACATTGCCACTAAGACCTATCACAGGTGGAAAACATTTTCACGGCAACTTATATTCAAATTGAATTTTTGGATCTATTCAGGTAATCACATTCAAAATTATGCATATTAAAATATTTCATTGTTACAGTGACTGTTTGTTGTTAATATTATTTCCCAAAAAATAAATTCTAGTCTCAATTATTCACTGAATTCAACGAAATTTATAGAAAAAGAAGAAAGGTTTCAGTTTCGTCTTTGAAGAAATTATTATTGACTAACCTTACACGTAATAATTCAGGATTCATATAATAATAGTAATAATATTAAAATGAAGTAACAATAGATTCCGTATATCGATATATCAATCCACCCGATGAAGCAATCACGCATATCGATCTCAAGACTCATTTCTTTAATTATTTCCCACACAATGTTCTTGCAAACTACACCGCGCATTCAATTTTCACATCATCATCTTTGTTCGTCTCCATTATAAATCTGCTCATGTATGTATGACCTTGCTTTAATTAGCATGGCCTTCTTGGATGCATAAAACTTAATTCTCATTTCAGTGATCCGGGTTAGGTTAGAATTTCGTCGAAATAAAACAAAAGCCGCGACGGGGCAGAACCGTAATTAACTAGTCTAGTCCATCATACCGGTGTTCGTTTCTCAAATGTCAAACAGTTTGGAAATTTTGGCGGTGCTTGCTGTTTGGCGTTGTCACGAACGAACCAAACGAAAAATGCACATTAAAAATTTCCGCAAGTCAGCTTTCATAAACATAACATTTCAGAAAATATTTAGAAAGGTTTGTTCGGTAACAGGATCAAATTATCTCAGAAAAACAGTTGTTTTCTTGCCAAAGTTTCGAATATAATAAAATTCTTCTTCAGGGCTCAGTAACGATGAGATTTATAAAACATACCTGCCACAAACTTCATAAATGTTGTCGTTTCTTCAAGTTGTTAGAAGTAATAATGAAATTGTTTGCAAATTGAACTGTGGAAACTGTCCCAAATGCTATGTTGGCCAAAGGGGACGTTATATTAAAACACCAGTTCCTGAGCACATAACAGATTCTATATAACGCAATATCAAAAACCCCACATCCCTTGTTAATCATGAAAGAGAGCATGGCTCGGTAGTGTCAACACTAGAAGAGATCCCGATGTCATAAATACTGCATACGTCAACTCAATCAGTAAAATACCGAAAAACATTCTTTTTTTTCTGATTTATTCTCACATCAATGAAAACAAATACCACCTTGTCAAAGTTATATTAAAATCATTCGTTTGTTTCATGTCGATGTATTGTCTCGAATATTTCATTTGTTTAGGACGTCTGATGATTTTTTAATTTAGTTATAGTTATTATAATTTCATTATTACTTGTCACAACATGAAATATAAAATTATAAAATATATAATTTATAAAACAAAAAAAATGTTTTATATAAAATTCACTGTTACAGAACCCTGAAAAAGAATTTGATTAAGTTCGAAACTTTGGTAAGAAAACAATTGTTTTTCTGAGATAATTTGATCCTGTTACCCAATAAACTTTTCTAGACTATTCAACTGATTTCAGATAATATTTGTTTACAATCTCCCAATAAAAACTTGTCTGTAATTTCGTTGAGTGTCCGTTATTTACATATATATTTTATTTTCGTCATACCAGGTATTTGCCAATACAATGCTAGTTGCATAGTCTTTAAATTAATTATAAAAATGACCTCGAGACAGGTCCAACATAAGCATTAACGTGGCGTGAATCAATAAGTTTGACAATTAAAATGAGATAATTATCAATTGATATATACGAGAAGACAACGTTGCAAACTGGACAGTTTTGTCTTAGACATATCTATTGAAAAATTTAGGGTTTGAAAATATGTCACTACCGGACAAATTTCTTGATCAAAACAAACATTTCCAGCTGTTTCAACTCATTTAAAAACTTTTTTAGAACTACCAATATATTACTGCTCAACAGATATGTGAACAAATGGACAGGAAGTATTAAAGAAGAATCTCTAACAACTACTGCTACTGAAATCAAAGTAAACGCCTCTGTGAATACTATTTTTGAACAAAACTAATTTAATCAGCAGGCTAATTTTGGTCTTATTACCTTTTTTCACAAGATAATACCATCGCAAGAAAATATACACATTTCAAAGGTTGAATTCCTGAGATATCGAAATTTAGAAAGCTCTTCCTATATTCTTCCTTCCTACAAGTAGTACTTTGTTATAAAAATACGTTAACACATGCATCACACTTATTTTGGGTTTAAGATAAATATCACTTACAGATACGTCCCTGTTGGTTGCCGGTTAATTAAATTCAATAATACCAGTAATAAATAGCACGTTAGTTTTTTGTTTGTTTGGGTATTGCGTATTGTGTGGGTCCTTATTAGCATTTAGGCAAACGAGAGCGAGCGACTGTTGTGTGACAGGAGAAACGAGGACGATGGAAAGGGGGCAATTATTTTTCAAGGGATGTATGTGCCTGCATGTCTAAAGTTTGAACAGACGACATTTCGGGAGTATGCTAAGTGAAAAGTGGCCATTGTATTCGACGGGCGGCGCGTCCGCTGTTCAGTCCGAAATGGACTTTAATTCTCATTCGCCGGCTTGGAAGTATCAGCGGTACCCAAACTATTGAAAGAATATTTCGTATTGACAGTCCAACGAGATTATCAACAGAAAATCCTATTATCAGAATTTAATAACATTTTCTATCCCCACTGCTTCACAAATGAATAAAAAATATTGGCGATTGTCAAAATGTTACTCATGTATATTTGTTGATATCGCAAATATTTCAAAATGAACTCATATGCAAAAGAATTATTATATGGAAACTAATTTCATATTTTATCGGTGAAAATATCGTCAGTTGGCGTTTTTCAGATAATTTCTATTGCTGTAAAACCCCATGAGATTAAATAAAAAATGATCGGCGTCTTGAAGCTTGTCCCATGCATCCGGAACAAACTACTGAAGAATAGTTGGCAATTAAACTCATGTAAAATTTTTCAATTTCGTGCTATTGAGTTTTTCTCGAAAAAACTGTTTATAGTACAAGTACACTGTTTTAAACAGTGAAGTTTGAGGTGTACTGTGAAACGATGAGCAGCCACAGTCCGTCGCGTATTTCTGCAATGGAGAATGTTCCTCAATTTGGGTTATTACAGCAAATGAAAATTTGAACAAAATAAAGTTGAGTTCAATAATTTATAGGTACCTAGATATTCTACTTCAAAAAAGGAAAAGTATCTTTATAAATCAACAATTAAGACAAAATATAAATTATAGTTCAACACCACCTCCACAAGCCACATAAACAACAGTTGTTTTGTTATTTATTTATATAGAAGAAGATAGGTTACACACAAAAGGTCTCGGAACTCGAAACATAAGTAAACAGAACAGCACGCCTCTGAAATATGTCATCTTTGTTTGTCTCATACAGGTAACAGATTCATTGTCCTATATTAGCTATAACCGATGTTGCCAAATAGTGAAATAGAAACGAATCCCTTTAAATGTTGAATGCATTATTTCATTCCTCTTTTTAAGGTATTTAAATAATTTTTTAAAGGAAAAGGTTGAAATGATAAGTTCAAAATGCGTTGTTTTAGAGCTCTTTTATGAA